CAGGACAGATGACCGTCCAAGATCCGGTCCCCCTCGGGTGACCACACCAGAGCAGGACAGACACATCAGGTCCATCTGAGAGATCGTTTCAGATCTGCCACCCGTATCGCTGCTGAAACTGCCGGCAGACACGATGCCCACATCATCAGTGACAGGACAGTGAGGCTCCATGCTGCTGGCCTTAGAGCAAGCGACCTGTCAGAGGCCCTCTGCTCACACCTCCTGGACCTCACACCCTACTGGCTTGGGCCAGACAGAGGCTGCGACGGAAGGGCCAGTGTGTGGAGGACGAGGTGTTGTGTTTCTTTTTTCCATCAGTATATTACCAGTTAAAGCTGCTTAAAGGTTATACTGTAAGACTTAGTCACAAGCTGCTGGGTAAGCAAGGTGAAAGGGCTGATAGTTACATAGTAGCGCTGTCGGGTGATGGAGAGATCCATTCCTTCATTCAGCTGCTGGTACTTCTCCGTGGCCACTGCACTCATCACCTCTTCACTCTCCAGCTCGGAGCCGTCCAGTCCTAAGCCCTTCCTCCTCAGCGTCTGCAGGTACATCAGGAGGAACGTTCAAGCAAGCTATCGTCACCCATCCCCAACCCCCAAAAAATGCATATTTCATGGAGATAAAGCCTCACTCGAAAGATCTGTTCTGATTGACGAAGACAAGATCTCATACAACGCAGGATTCACCATTCGAAAACCTAAAGGGCAGTCATTCGGCAGAGGTAGGACTTCCACTTCAAGAGGTGGAAATAAGTTCTGGGAATACGCGTGGCAGATCCATGCATCCTCACAAAGCTCGTTATTGCCACCAGTGCTGGTACTGGAAGCACAAGGTGCAATGCTGGACCACAGCCTACGTGGGATGTTTGTCCATTGCAATGCGCACGCACACACGCACACACACACAGCAACAGTTTGACAATGCCAATTACTTCAGCCAGCATGACCAAAGCACCCAGATAAAAACCCCTCCAAACACTGGGAGAACGTGCAGACTCCACACGGAAGGTGGTCCAGACTGGACTCAAATTCAGGATATAGCTGCTGTGAGGCAGCATTGCTAAACACCCTAACACTGTGTTGCCCAAACCCAGCATGCTTTTGTCCCACAAAGAGTATAGCTATAGATTTGAACAACATGTAATGTATTAAAGAAAACAGCTAACTGAACACAACATTTATCTTACTATAAAGAGGTTCAGCCCTTCTGTGATGTATATAACTGTACAGCTTTATACACAGCTGAACCTACCAGTGAAAACCTCCGAGGGTTTTCCTGAAAGTCGGAATTCACAGCCTGGGAGTGAGCAGGTGCTCTTTTAGGGGAAAGGAGAGGGGCCCTGGGAACTGCACTGTACCTCCAGGATGTCAGCGTTGGTCCGGCTCTCGTGGGGCTCGCTGTACTCCGTGTACTTCAGCAGGACCTTGTCCATGTCCGTGCTGGCGTACTGGAAGAGCCGGTTGGTGCTGTTGAAGATGATGAGCGCAATCTCGCAATCGCACAGGACGCTCAGCTCGTAGGCCTTCTTCATCAGCCCGAACTTGCGCTTGGTGAACGTCACCTGTGGGACACGACCAGCAAGGGAAGGGGGGGAGGGGTTAAAAGGGGGCAGATGCCCCCCAGGTCAAGGGTCAGCGGTCAGAGCCCCACTGGTACCCTGCTCACCTCAGATTTGAGTTACATCATTAACCGGGCAGCTTGCACACCCACTCTGCTGAAGCCTTTTTGTTGCAGGACCTAGGAAGAACTGCACTGACTGAAAGACAGTCTTTCTGAATAGTGAGTTGCATAGATACCTTAAATGAATTATCCCCGGTGTTACACACTGAAGATCAGCTGAGGTCAGCTGCCAGTTTAAGGAGGAAAGTTTGATACACAGGAAACTCAGAACTAAGTGTTAAATGCAATCAGGGTCTGCTCGTCTGCATAAAGAAAGGAAGTGCACTTATCAGAGATTGCCGTGGTGAATTTGTCATGGTACTTCTCTTGTTTTATCTCACATTTGCTTGATGGTTTTTTTTTTTCCGATTCTGTAATGCTGCCACCAAGCATCACTTCAATCCTGTAATAACCCTTCTCAGGACACAGAACTGCAGTGCACCACTTTTCCCTCACAGCCTGGTCTCACAGCACAGTGGAATGACAGTAAAACCACTGGAAACTATGAAAGGCCCCAATAAAAAGTGATTCCACAGATTTACCATGGATATTTTTTATTAGCATAAGTACAGGTGGTGCAAAGAGATTTTAAATGAAAGCTATGTGTATTTTGTGGACATTATTAAGTATTTATACTGCCTGAAGGAACAATAAATTAATTTTGCACCGAAATAAAAGACAAAAACTTTGTAGAACCTTGCAGGCCTTGAATTAAGCACCTGGACCTGTAAACAGTGTTTAAGTGGGATTATAAAAGTCTTTTTTTATTTGTGAATTTGCTGATCAGATGGAGGGCAGGTGACCGAGCCAGGCTCCATTTAGACTGTCAAGAAAGACCACGGGATGTGACTGTTCACAGGGTGCCGAGTCCCCAGCTTAGTCTGGGCCACAACTCAATGAAGTCAGTGACGCTCTGCCAGAGTGCTATCCCACTAGCCCCCACGCTGGTGTTCATATTCGTTCTCCAGGCCTGGACAGGCTGCAGTACGCAATACCATCCCGAGGTGTCCTCATGGCCATGCGGGAGATGCGACGCAAATATACTTTTCTATCTTTGCACATTAACATTAATATGGCATTTCCCTTTCACTCTTCCTTCTTGCGTATAGGGCACCTTGCTCAAAAGCAGGATCTCTGGGACAGTCTTCCGGAAGATTTTATGTGTACGGACCGGTCATCAATCCAGTCAAATCTCGAGGGAGGGTGGGAAACAGCAAGGGGCTGGACACAGCAGAATGTTGACGGCCCGTTTGTTCCGAGGGTGATGTGGCTCTGTTTGGCTACGGTACCTGTCGGTTCCTCTGGTCCACTATTCGAGAGATCTGGATCTTCTTCCTCCCCATCCTGTCTGTCTCTCTCGCTGTTTGCCCACGTCTGTGTCTGTGTCACTGCCTCGCGGGCTCTCAGTAGGTGAGGCACGCCCTGTGAAGAGAGTCAAAGCAATCATCAAGCTTCTTCTGCACTGTTCGTTTCTTCAAGTTCTGCTTTTCTAAGCCTTTTCTGCTTCTTCACAACATTTAAGAAATGATATGTAGCTGCTTCTTTGTCTTCTGTTTGTCCAATCTAATATCATTCCTGCTTACAGCAGAAACCTCACAACTAGGGTAAAGTCTTTTTCCTATAGTGAGGTGTTTTCTATTATGTGAAAAACTGTTTTGACATAAAAAAAATCGATAATTCTCCTTTTTTAAGAATTACACTCAAGAAACAGACTTTGAAAATCTGGGTTTTGAATTAAGAAGCAGCAATATAATGGTGCTTTCTAAAGCAGATCATCTCCAGAGTGATAGATGAGGTGAGAATAAGCACCTAAGAAGACTGATAATATTTTGGAAACAGGACTACGGGACTAAAATAGCTATACAAGGGCAACTAATCCAGGCCAACCTGCTCTCTTGTAAAGGGAACAAAAGGCAATATCTGTGTTTCAACCATCCATCCATTTTCTAAGCGTCCTTGGGGAGCCAGAGCCTCTCCCAGCAAGCAATGGGTGCACAGCAGAATACAGCCTGGTCCAGACACCAGTCCATCACAGAGCAGACAGACAGGCACACACACACACCAGGGCCAATTTTCCCTGCCAGCATGTCTTTGGACTGTGGGAGGAAACCTATGTGAACCCAGGGAGAACATGCAAACTCCACGCAGACAGCACCCCAGAAATTGAACCCAGGGCCCCAGCCCTGCAAGGCAGCCATGCTCACCGCTGCGCCATCCATCTTTACTTCAAACGCACGCACCTTCACACTGCAGCAGGGGCCTGAACAAGGACACACTTTTAACCCATCGGTGTTAAAATAGGAGGCGGGCAGCTCAGAGTTGTGGCAAGGGGCTCCAGGCTCCTCACTGCGGGATCAAGCCTACGACACTGTCACTGCTGCTGTACCCCCAAGCAAGGCACCATACCCAAGTTGCTCCAGGCCTCGCAGCTGTATAAATGGATATGAGTACCGTCGGGACGAACCCTGAACCAAAGACAGGTCACAATCGAGAGGAGCTGTCCAGCTGGGCTTGTTCATGTGGTGGCAAGTAGCATGTTGATCCAAGGATCTCAAAACACCCCTTTTAGAAAGAAGCCAGGGTATCGGCTTGAACAACATGGCTGGGCGGCAGCTTGTACCACGCTCCCACCACTCGGTGTGTACAGCAGTGTCATCCCGTTCTCAGGTTTAAGCGCGCTTCCACGTTGTTCCTGGTTGTGTCGTTCCGGTTTGTGTTTCATGTTTGATTCTGAACAGGCCCAGTCCACTCCCTGCCAAGGAAAACTGGATAAACTTGGACAAGATAAGCCCCCTGTATGAAACCCGACAAGACCCCCCCCACACACACACACACATCGCCCAATGTAATACAAAAAGCTTTTTTAAACTCTAAATTCTAACAATTTCTGTGGGAAAAAGGCAGCAGCCTGCCTCTGTAATGTAGGTTATCCCCACCCTCTCCCACTGTGTCCTTTCAGATGTTGGCTGATTCGTATTTATATCCCCGCGTGTGTGTACGTCCTAAAGTTAGCCCACGCCGGAGCTGTCAGCCCCGCTGTCTGGGTACCCCGAGAGCTCGGCTCATTTCCGAAGAGCCGGGATTAAAAATACTCGGGCTGCCTTTAAAAGGTAGAACAAGGAGCCCTGCGCCATAATGACAGGCAAAATAAATAAATAAACCCCAAATAAAGTGGAGGAACTTCCCATCCGCCCCCTGCTCTCTCATGGTCGCACAGAGTGAAAAAGCGAGCTGCGAAGGCAAAAAAGAAAAAAAAACGGATGTAAACCCGTAACAGAAATATTAACCATTAGCTGCAGGGGAGGAGAGGAGCGGTGCGCGGGGAAAGTGAGGAGGTCGCTCCGCCACCGGCCCGACTCCTGCCGCCGTCCGAGCGGAAACGCTTCTACAATCGTGTAGTTGTTGTTGTTTTTTAGGTGCTTACTGTAAACGCCGAGGCGAAATTTGACTGTTCGCAAATAAACACTGAAGAGTTTGTTTGTTTTTTTAAAGAATGAATCTCACGGCAACTTAAACGGAGAAGGTGCGAGAATCGCGGGTATCGACTGCGCTTTCTCAGGGCTCCGAACGGGTCACGACCCCTCCCACCAGCTGGCATTCATTGAAATAGTTTCCCACCTTTTCATTTTTCGACCCCAGCGGATTGCTGTCCGGCGTCGCGGTCCGTAACGAAGTTCAAATGGACACGGGATATATTAACGAGACTACAGCCAGAGAGCGCCCTCCAGCTAGCGCCTCGCCCGGGGGATGAATTTCGGATAAAATCAGTCGCTTTTCGTAAAATTAAGCAAATAAAAGCAAAGGTTGTGGGGGGGGGGGTCAGGTGTTGCCCGCTGTGTATTGCTCTCGCTAGTGTTGGGTTTGGAGTTCAGAACATGTATCTACATGATTGATTATGTTCCAGATAAACCTCAGGGGGCCTGGTTGCTCAGTGGGCAGGATTGCTGCTTCACAGCGCTGGGGCCCTGTGTTCAGTTCCAGACCCGGAGTGCTAATTGTGTGGAGTTTGTATGTTCTCTCCCTGTTTGAGTGGGTTTCCTCTGGGTTCTCCGGATTCCTCCCACTGGATCCCATGGATTCCTATCCACAGGTAGGATAACTGGCTTCTGGGGAAACTCCCCCTGGTGTGAGTGTGTGTACACTGCGATGGACTGGCGTCCCATCCTGAGCGTACCCTGCCTTGTGGCCAGTGCCTGCTGGCTTCCTGGGGACCCTGAACTGGAACAAGCAGGTAGAAAATGGACGTATAGGTGGATGGTAAGGAAATAGATGAATGGAGATAAACCCCACTCACATGAGACACTACAAGGGCTGAAAGGACATGTGTTTTCCCAGCAGGTGGCGACTTTCACCTGACGTACTTGTACCTGTCCGCGAAGCTCGGCCTGACCCCGCTGCTCGTACGTCACGCCCCCGCAAGCAGCCGCTGCAGATATTTGCCGCTCCGCCCTCACTTGTAGCAGGTGCCCCCGGCCTGAATTGAAACGCACAAAGGCAACAAAAGCAAACGCCACAAAGAGGCACCAGGTGGAAGGGCCTGTCGAGACACAGGACCTGTGCAGGTGGAACACACTCCAGTGCACGGGGCTCACCTGCGCCCTACACCGCAGGAAGAAACCAGGGTCTGCTGGGCGGCAGAGCTCGCTGGTATTTTCCATTCCACAGCACCCCGAGCTGCTATGCACGCAAACCCAACGATGTCTCTCTAGCAAGGGAGCATGAAACCAGAGCCCATGCCAGACTCACAGAATGTTTTGTTTTTTTGTTCAGATTTGACAAGCTTAAGCCTCTCCTATATTTAGCCAGCAAACGTTTATTCCGATCTGTGAGCGGATGTGGTGCCAGTTTTCCCACGACCCCGAGTGATCCCATGGATCGGCTGCCCTCGTATGGCAGGCCGGCAGGCATTTAGGGCATCTCTAAACAATCGGGCTCTGGTGCCACCGCTACCTTATAAAGCATATCCTGGCCAGACCTCAGAAGACTGGGCGTTCACACCTTCTCTCTCTCAGTAGCGGCAGCACAACGTACGACGCCGTCAGATTTTATTCTGAAATGGAAGGGGACCTAAGGAATGCAGGAATAATTTGAAACCAGCAGTAGCTGTGGTATCATTGTAAGAGCCCTACTGTAGTCATGTGCTGATGGGCAAAGGGAACCACAGCTCACCAGTTTTTCGTGAGGTGTGTGTTTTAACGAGCTGGGTGAACAACACTTTCGAAGCCCCAGGGCGAATGTGCCTTTTGAGAGGTGGCGGAAATTGAGCTACAGTTTTGTAAAAGTAAACAACATGCCAGCTGAAATTGCTCAGATTGCTCCAACATTGGAAGAGTTATATTGTCCTTCGTTTGGCTAAGGCTACTTCACACCTCCAACAACGATATTCCAGCAGAGAGTGCACTAGGGCACGAAACCTATAGGGCTAAGAATGAAACAGAAGATTCTGATGACCACAAACAAACACAAACACATTTCATACATCAGAATACATCTTGATGGTTTGAGACTATAGTACAAATAGTACTTTAAGCTTCCTCACTGTATTCAGGATTGTATTATTTGCTAGAACCAGGAAGTTTGTGGTCTAACCAACTAATTAACAAAAAGAAGAGACCATTTTTTCTTCCAGTGCTGAAATGCTTGCTTGTCTTGACTGATAAAAATCGTAAGGCAAGCTTTAGCTCCAAGCACCCAGCCCCTCAACAGCAACTCTAATATAACCTTGATTCCACAAAACTCCAATGAATACCAATGGCACAGCTGTCCTTTATCTGGGCAAATAAAAAATATTTGATATTGCACTCAGAACTGGATAACAGAGCTACTACTTCATATCCAGAATGTAAACAGGTGTATACAAACCTCAGTTCCATTCATGTATTGCTCTTTTAGCTTAAATTAAAAAATACCTTTAGTTTTATTGGAGCAGCACTTTGTGCTTTTTTAAAATTCATAATGCTGCTCATTAAACCATCGCTGAGATCTCTGTCCTGCTCTGGAGTTGGGCGGCAGTGGCCAAGACCGGGTAAAGAGAGACATCTCCCTGTTAACCCTACTTCTCACGAATGTTAAGATTGCACAGATCTCTACTTTAATCCAGGCATCAGAGATCAAACAAAAAACATCCCAGATCTCAGGGGTAAGAAACAGATGGACTTCACAGCATGTCGGCTGTTTGGTCAAGTCTGACCTTGTGCTCACACTCAAGAAAAGCACTTCTGGATAATCCCTTGCTAGACAAGATCTCACACATCTCTAGTATGTAAAGAAATCTATAAATAAACATTACAGAGAGAAAGAAGTGTTTTCTGCTTTGTGGTTTCGTGTTTTTTCAGAACTGCAGCTTGTCAATTCACACGCAGCTGAACCCTGCTAATTATGGACAACTTTGCCCTAAACAAAAACCACAACTCATCTCGAGT